CCATGAACTGTGCATTACTGTTAAAAGGTCAAACATCTCCTTGGGTGTACGTGATGCTAACAATTCGAGAAAATCCAGACTAACCAACCCATTGCACAAATATATTACCATTAGGCCCACACTTATTTTATTTAACGTTCAAAAGGTTACAAGTCCTAAAAGTTTTCTTTATGGCACAAAATAATTTTATACTGCTCGCAAAAAAAAAAACAAAAATAGATACATTATTCAATTAATTTAGCTGGTTTAAGAAAAGCAAATTTGGCAGCGCCATGAGGACTTTAAAAAGTTCTCTATTAAAAAACACAATTAAAGGAGTTAGGATATACAACACAGAAACATGTATTTTTTTAAATGTATTTGAATTAAAATATTAATACTTTAATTTATTTTATTTAATAATTATAATTATAGTTATAATAAGTTTTTGCTAAATAAGTACTTTAACCAAAAAAAAAAATAAAGTAAGAAATATAATAAAATATACACAGAAAAGTAATCTCTTGATTTTACTATATTTTGCTTGGCTCAAATAAATTATTTATTTCGATATCTACAAGAAGATATTTATTTAGTGGAAAACTTTGATTTATTTGAGTTTTTAAACTGATATTTGGTTAATACAAGTAAATATCTATTTGACTTTTTATCTCAGGTTTAGTAGAAGCTTACTTAAAAAAACAAAACCTACATCCAAACAATTTAATTAATTGCTCTAAATAAATATTTCTTTACAATTAATCATAAACAATAAGTTGTTTTCAAGAAACTTATGATTTACAACCAAATAATAGTATTTTCTTATGGTAAACAACAAGTTACTACGAATAAGAAAATTTTACTTTATACAAGAAAACCTGTTTCAAATAAATGCATTTTCTTAAATCAAGAGATTACTTTTCTCTGTATAGGCAGGTTTTATAAATGAATTAGTATACTGGTAAATAATTTACTTTTTACAAAAATTTTAAATGGATTTTCATTTAAAATTAAGAAAAATACCTTACTTTTATTATTATACTTTTATTATTATTATTATACAGTGTGTATCAGCCAAATTCGATACTACATAAATGGAGGCTTGTTCCAAAAAACGCTCGGACACATCGATTTGTATTTTTAGTTGCGCATTTTTTCAACAAAAAGTTTATGTACATGGTTTTTCATGTAGCAGTAGGTACCAACTTTCTTATTTTAAATGCTACACCCTGTTTATTATTTAATTTTTGAATTCTCCAGAATGGTAGACATATTTTATGTAAAATCTCAACTGTTTCGAAAATATTAAAAAATTAACATTAAATAACGATAATTATTTTATTACAGAAATTCGCTACAACAACACACTAAAATAGGTACAGTATTGTGCGAATTAATGTGAACATTAGGAACTTGCTAAAAATGAATTCTACAACAAAAACTAAGATGATTGAGGCTGTCATTCAGGTATGGTTTCGAGATGACAAAATAAAGGAAAATTGCAAAACAAAGATTAATTCTATGCCAAAACGAGTTAAAGTTTTAATAAAGGCCAAAAGGGGGACATATTCCCTAATAAATAATACTAAAATATTCATAAACTAGTACTGTTTGTATTTTCTATTTCAATAAATAATATTTAACGTAAATCTATTTGTGTTCACATTAATTCGCACAATACTGTACTGTTAATTTCTTGATAATGTAATTAACAAACAAAAATTAATAACAATGTAGGATATGTTTAAAATGCTGGCCGTGAACGACTTGGCAACATCCTGATCTTAAACAGAAATTACTTCTAACGTTACTTAACATCTGAGGCGTGACCGATCTAATCGCCAGCGTTTATTTTCTTCTTAAGTCAGCTAAGTCAAGGGTTTTGGTTTTGTATACAAAACTTTTTACATATCCCCATAGGAAGTAGTAGAATATTCTCGTCTCCCTATCCACCGATTTGGAAATATTCTGCTGAGGTACTGCCGACCATTGATTCGGTAATAGTGCGGTGCTCCATTTTTCTAAAATCATATTCAAAGTCTCTAACCAAATTATTATAATTATTATAATAATTATTATAATATTAATTTTAATAATAATTATCGTTCTTTAAAGTTAATTTTTTAATATTTTCGAAACAGTTGAAGATAGCTATAGGACATTGTACATACAATATGCCTACCCTGATAGCGAAATTTGATTTTAAGAATCTTCTAAGAAGATAAGACCCGGAATAATGGAATATTCTTAGAACCTTCTCTTATTGCTAAGAATGTTCTTAGGGACTTTCAAAACATTCAATAGATACCCTTTTAATGATGCAATTAGATTTTTAAAAGCTTCTTAAAACATTCCTAAAAAGCATCCTAAGAACATTTTACGAATACGTTTTTGGAATGTTCTTAGAAGGTTTCTTATGGAGCTTCTAGGAAGCTTTTGAGAATATTTCCAAATATGTCAGATACCCACGATCTAATATGTATTCTACATTCCTAAAATTCTTCAGGAGACGACAAATACGCCTCACTGTCATAATATGACAGTGAAATGAATTTTTCGTCCTTAAAAAATTTTGCGACATACCTATTAATATTTATTTAAAAATATTAAATAAACAATTTGACCTCTAAACCATAAGTTGTATGACATTATTTCATAAAAAGTAAAATTGGAAAATTTTGTGGAATAAGTCAGATTAGATTGAAGTTGAAGATAGTTAGAATTATTATACATAAAAATGTTAATTCAGAAATAGAAAATCGGTATACAAATTAATAAATATTTATTTTTAACATAAAATAAAATACCTATAGTAAAAGTATATTGTTTTAATTTGACAAATAACTATAAAAAATATTTTGGATTGTTTTTTACTTAGTATTTAATACTATTTACTAATTATGTACTTATAGCTATATACCTTTAAACGTAGTTTATGGTATATTTTACTATTATATAGGTAACTAACAGGAATATTCCTAAATGAACTTTCTATAGCAATTACTTTCTTAACATTCTAAGCATATGTTTTTAGTAGACTAATTTTTACCACTAAAACTTTGCACCTTCTAAGAACCTGCCTATAGGCCAGTAAGAATATTCTATATGTCTTTTAAGCATGTTCTTTAGAAGAAATATAGCATGATCCTAAGAACATTTTTACTGGAAGGTTTAAAAAACATTCTTAGAATAAAGTGTGCTATCAGGGTAAAATTTTTAGAAGAATCCAAAAATTGAATAATATACAAGGTTTTGCATTTAAAATAAGAAAGTTTGAATTGGCCACTGTTACATACCACACCCTATACATAAAAATTTTGTTGAAAAAATGCACAACTAAAAATACAAATCAAACTGTTTTTGAAGTACGCTCCCGTTTATGTATTATCGAATTTATTCTATTTGGCTTATACACACTGTTTAATAATTATAATTAATACTTATTGTGATTGTTGTAAAACAGATCACTTGGGAAAACGTTAGTCAAACTTTGTGCACTTTTTTGTCCCATTATATTATATTATATTATATTATATAAATGGTATATATGGTTTAGATATATAAAAATATAAACATATTATCGTATGAGCATAAGGATCCCTAGTTGTTGCGTTTTTTGAGAGCAGTATATTTGAGATTAAATTATTTTCTTTCAAATCTTTGCCATTTGCCATATTTTTTTCCGAAAACTTCTTAATGCAATTTTGTTACATTCCAATAAGCCAACTTTTATATTGACAAACTAAATTTTTTCCTTAAATTTATAAAATCTTTCATATAAATCCAAAAGTTACTAAAATTATATTGCAGCATAAAAGTGTTCAATTTTTATTTCCTTACTGTGTCGCAAAAGAATATAAGAAAATAAATTCCTTATGAACTCTTTATAGTAGAAATAAATGTATATGCTTGATGTAACGTGATACAAAAAATATTTGTGTGTTTAAATTTTTGCCTTAAATTTATAAACTTTGAAGTATGACTTTTATTGCGGAAATATATTCAAATACAAATACAGATACAGATTTCTCATGTTACATAGGTATCTTATATAAATATTACAAACTTTGAAAAAGTTATGGCACAATAATAATAATTATTACAATAAAAACATAATTATTTATATTACAATTTATTTTCATTTTGATTTAAAAAAGGTTTCTGTAGTTTAACAAACATAAAATATATACGTGTGTATTTTTATTTTATTTTTATTTCAAATAAAAGGTTTTTTTATATAATTTTGAATTTTGTTATAAAAATTGTATCCACAAGTAATATAAATTTAACCAAACACTTAGGAACTCGTATTTTGTTTTCATTTTAAAACATCTATTTCCATGTAAATTTTTTTCAAATATTATAACAAGTCAGGGTAAAATGTTATTAAGACTAAATTTTAAAATGAAAAACAGGAGATAAGAAGATACTTTAAAATCTGTTTCTTAGAACAACATACACCACGGAGTTCGTAAAAGCAACCCTACGTCAATTTCATAAATAAAATGAATAAATTTTATTAACTTTATTCATGATATAAACTTTATAATGATAACAGTTAAAACCCAACATACATTTATAAAGAGTAATAAGTAATGAGATTTAACAAGTACGTGTTTTCCTCAATAGTTTTATCCTAGTTAAAATCCTTGTTCTTCTATTCCTTTGTTTGTATATGTCTGTGTATCGTTTTAACCTGTGTTTGTGATGTCAATTGCCTTTGTTCTTTTAACCTTTCTGTTCTTGTATATTGTGACCTTTGTACATTCCAAAAAAACCTTAAAAAACTGGTAAACTGATTAGATATTTTAATAGTTATTGCAACTATGTAATGTATTATGTGCAATACTTTTATTATTCTTGTTGCAAAAACTATGAAATAATTCTATTCAGTAGATATTGGGTAATGGGATGGCTTGAAAACTGCATTTTTATTAAAACCGAGGCAAAGGACTTTTGAAAGCTTAATTGCAGCTAAGGTATTAAAAATCAATCTAAAAATTTTAATTTCGCATTTGCAGCCCGATGCTAGAAATAGCCGAATACAAACACATAGAATATTTCGACGGTACCATAGTACCTGCCTGCCACACACTTGCCAACTCATTCTGGCCGGCCCTGTATTTTTTGAGCAGTATATTCCTGTTTTTCATTGCGCCGTTAATTATTCTGATGGTGCTATACTGCATTATAGCGAAGAATTTGATTTCTAACGCTGCTACGTTGGTACTTAACAAGCATATAGATAATTATTCGATAAGAGCTAGGAGACAAGTTATACTAATGCTTGGTACTGTAGTGCTAAGTTTCTTTCTATGCCTCATACCATTCAGAGTATTTACTTTGTGGATTATCATAGTACCAGAAGAAACCATCAACCAACTCGGGATAGAAAAGTACTACAACATATTGTACTTTTGCAGAATTATGGTGTATCTTAATTCAGCTGTAAATCCCATACTTTATAACCTGATGAGTTCTAAGTTTAGAACAGGATTTATTGTTTGCTCCGAAACTAGGAGACCCTTGCACTTCAAGCGGTCCAGGAATGGTACTTTTAGTACAACAGCAAATTCAACTCGTAGCAGTAGTACCTTTAGAAACAGCGAAAGCTACAAAGTTTGTTACCGGCCGAGAAATAATTCAATTTTGATTAAAAACTGCACAGACTCTCCCGATTCGATTAGAAGTGCAGAGTCGTTCTCAAATAGCCCCAAAAGTAACCTTAAGATTCTTAAAAGAAGCTGCTTAGACGATGATTTCGATGGAATTAGTAACAGAAGTAAAAAAAGAATGGACGCTACCGGTGAAGATATGGTTTTTAGAGAAAAAGTTATTATATATCCGCATTGTCAAAGAAATTTGGACGGATATTTAAGTGGAAAATTCAATGAAATTGAAGAAAGGATCAATTTACACCAAAAATTTGCAAAAACGAACAGTAAAAATGAGGAGGAAAGTTTTGTTTAATGTCTTACTAAGAGGGATCTATTATATATAATTATTATAATAATAAAGATGTTTTTTAAAGTTGTAATAAAACTCAGTAACTATTTACTTAAATATTAAAAAAAAAAAGGTGGTGGTTAATAATAACCAGTTGTATATTACTTTCGTATGATTAAAGTTATAACTGCTTTATTACACCTTTAAAAAGCACCTCAACTTTAAACAGCCTTTATAATTTAATTTAAATTTATTAAATTCCAACTTAATGTTGCCTTATAAGAGCTTATTTTACTAAATTAATGGCATAAAAACGTACTTTTAAAAATATGTATGTTTTTTTTAAGAAAAATAATAAATCTGCACTGAATAAAAAAACACTGTATAAAATACCAAAGATGTATTGTTAGTATATAAAGTACTGAATGTTATATAGTATTACGTAAATAAAGCTATGATATAATATCAATTAGTTTAAATTTTAAATAAAATGTATTTTTTTAGATATTTTACTAAATTTATCATTAACAATATTTTCATATTCATTTACCTTTATGTTAACTGTTAGGTTCACATAAAATTCTTGGATTAAGTAAAATATAACAATATCACCAAACCAATCCACTTACACAAACATACATACCATCCATAAATGTAAGTATTTCTTTAATTTTTGCTTTTTATATAAAATAACGAGTTTTTCAAAAAAATTATTTAAATATTAACAGCTTTAGGTTATTTTAACTATCGTTTAAAAATATAATAATAATAATCATTATTACTTATATTAAATGTGTATTATATTATAAGGGCGCGGAAAGCATAACCAGCCTAGCGTATCATTTACAGTGGAAAACTTATAATAAATATATTATTATCATCCACGATTACTTATCATGCACTCGTAATTTTCGAGTAAAAAAGTGAATCTTTGTACATGAAAAATGTATTTTTGGTGAATAATTGAAAAGTTAAAGCTTTAAACATGTCAATATCAAAAAATTTTGAGAAATAATAAAAATGCAAATTAACCCTAGTCAATTAAAATGATGAATACATCAAAAGCATATTCTAAAGGTTTAAAATTAGACAAAAACTTTTATCAGGAATAAAATTGTTTTTTCCTCTTTGTAACCCCATCCGTGGACATACTATATATATTATATATATTAAAGAAATAGAAAAATAAAATAAAAACAGCCCCTAGGGAATTTGTTTATTTTTTGGCAAAGTAATTTTTTTAAATAGTGACAGAGTCATAATAAAATCGATTTGCAAATTTTATAAAAACTACCTATAGTAAATATATTTATATGCTCACTATTGCTACCATTCTAGCTCCGTTATTATTGAAGTTACAAAGTCGGTTAAATTCGCAAATTGGTGGCATTTTTTCTTTTGATTTGAAGGGTTAAAACAGAAAAACAATTGAACGTCGGATTTCCGATATAATTGTAGCTCCAATTATAACGAAATTAGCAATGGTGAGCGGAAAACTTTGGACCCCTGTATAGTAAATATATTTATTATATATAATATATTATATTTTTGTCTAAAGCACCGACGCACATTGGTAGGAAAAAACTGTTTTTCCTCTAAATGATTCAAACTAGCAGCAACACTCATGAAATTTTATATAAATCGGGGTCCTAAATTCAATGAAAAAGTTACTGATATGATATCATCAGTGGAAGTATTTTTTTAATTGTGGTCTGAACTAACCAAAATTCCGAGAAAAACATCTTCATTTGTAGTTAATCGAGAACATTTTCGAGCGTGATGGGTTCTTAAGAACTTATAATCTTTTCTTCTACACTCTTGAGCTTGCTCTGAGAGTGAGCCTATAGGAAGGACTGCACATTCAATAATCTCTGCTCCGTGGAAGATAATTTTGTTTATTAATGTAGAAAGATAATACCTCGAGTATAATGTTCTCTCTAAAAATGAATTAGTCAAAAATATCTAATTTAATAGTTATTGGTGGCTGCTTTTTCACTTGTACCATGGTTAACCATGGAATACCAAGGTATCTCAAAATTTAACAGCCAATTCTTATGTAAAATTGTTCCCTGAATCCGAAAATACCATCAAAAATTATGAAAGTGGAGCAGTTTTTGAGATATAGTCAATTCCATATTAAATTGAAAATTGACTATATCTCAAAAACTGTTATACTTTTTTAACTTTTGACGACATTTTCGGATTCAGGACAGTTTTACATAATAATTGGCTGTTAAATTTTGGGATATCATGTCATTCCATGGTTAACCATGGTACAAGTGAAAAAGCAGACACTAATAACTATTAAATTAGTCATTTTTGACTAATTTATTTTTAGAGGGTTGTTACCCGAATAGCAGTCTCATATCAATAACCTAATTATATTAATTGGCGAGAGGCAGTAAGTTACCTCAGGAGTCACTCCCAGTCTTCTTATTAAACGTTCGTCTATTTGGATAATGTTAGGATTTAAAAAGAATTTTTGAGAGGTATTTCCATCATTTGTTGTTTCTGTCCCTTGCTTCACTGCATCAACGCGTGAACCTATTTTCTTAAAAAACTCGACTTGAACACATTTTTTCTTTCAAAGAACGTGTTGCCGGAAGCCGCAAAGTCCAGGTTAAGATGCAGAATGTATTCCATGAACTTGATTGGTACATGCAATGTTGACATCCCTAGCTTAAGAGCTTTTTCATTTGAAATCGAGCTACCCATCCTTGATACATCGTTCATTTGAAAAGGTTTAGCTTTATACCAAATGTCTATGTTGTCTGTACCAGCAGCTGTGATCATTAAAGGAACTAAGGAAGTCATGAACAGAGTCAGATACAACGGTACTCTCATCTGAAAAACTTTTCTTATATTCACTTTGGCCAGAAGCCTCATCTATTCCCCATTTTGTTTGAAGAAACAACTTCTTCTGGTCAGATATTGGTCTGACATTTGAAATGGGATTCAAAAATTCTTGTTGCTGTATGGTCGTGTAAATCTTGCAACGGAACTTTCCATAATATTAATTAATACTAAATCTTTTTAATTTTTTCGCGATGATGAAGCAGCTGCATTTTCTTTTAGCACATTCCGAAAATTTTTTGCAAGGCCTGCTGCCAACCTTACGTTTACAAATGTAGTTCTTGGATTCTAAAATAAATTCACCCTTTAACCAGTTTATATGTCGTTTTAGGAACTTTGGCTACCGTTGTCTACATCCTTTTTTTTCTTGTTAAAATTTGGTAAAAATCTCTTCTTTATCTGTTTAACTGCATCAAATAATTTGTCCATCTCTACATCTGGATAGCTTTCTCTCAATCCCTGATCTAAAGAGCACCCATTCCTTAACAGTATTTCACACAACTTGCCGTATGGAATTACTAATTCTGTCATATTAAAACACTAGTTACAAGGTCACTAACATCAGAATAAGCACAACATTAAATTGAATATATTTTCCCAAATTTAATATTTAAGGGTAGTATATTCATGAAGAATGAAAGGATTAAAAAACAAATTTTTAAATTATTTTTGTAATAAAATTAACCCAAAATTCGATGTTAAACTGGGTGCCTAAAAGTTCTAAAATACACCCTCATCACCGGCGTCCGAGGGCATCGATGAAATTTATGGTTACGTCTACTCAATAAAATAGATTTTGAGGTGGTAACATTCTCGAAACAAAGCTCGGCAAAGCTTTTTTTGGTAGTCCAATATTTGCGAGGAAATATGATTTATTAGCTTATTTTAGCTATTTAGATACTTAACTTGTTTTAATTTTAAATTAAATTATCCTTTTAAAGGCTCGTTTTTTTCACACAAAATACTCAAACATTTATTTGAAATTTCTCACTGAAATAACGAAACTACAAGTTTCAATCAGTATTACACTTAGGGCCGGTTTGTCAATCTTTGGTTAAGTTCCAGTTAGTCTATCTGACAGTTAAATTTCATATCGATCATTGTGAAAACAATGGTATCCATGGAAATTATCTACTAGATAACTAACTGCAACTTTAACTGGACATTGATAAACCGGCCCTTAGTAAATATTATTTAAAATTAAAACGGGTTCAGATCATGAATTTAAAAATATAATCAATAAATTTTGGAGCATTTGCAGACTATCAACTTTGGGGGATTTTTGGACACTTTCTACCACAGTGCGACGCCACTTGGGATTAATATAACTAAAAAAACTAAAAAACTTTTTGGACACCGTTTTCGCTAGAAAAAAATCGAACAAAAAACAATTTAAGAAGAAAAAACAACCATAGACACAATAAAATGTTTATTTTGCTATTTTTAAATTATTTGTAATAAATGAAATACATTATATTATTATTTATATAATATAAGTATATAAATAATAATAACACAGGCCCACAAAAAAAAGTTGAATGAACTTTAAATGTGAGTATACTACCCCTATGGATTATGAGCCGCTGAATCCGAATCCGATCTCAGAATTTCCTCTGGACCCCCCAGTTTTCCCCTAACCTAGGGGAAATGCGTGAAATATTAAGTGAAACGATATGGTTTTTACGAGGGAAATTCCACAGTGAGATTCGAACTTAGCGACTTGAGATACGTGAAAACATTATCGTTTTATTTAATATTGCGTATATAAAAATTGGTTTTACAGGCACTGAAATTTCTAAGATTTCAAGTATTTCCCCTAGACTAAGGAAAGAAAGAAATTCTGACACCGGATTCGGATTCAGGGGTAGTATACTCACATGTAAAGTTCATTCCACTTTTTTGTTTTTGTGGGCCTGTGTAATTTTTGGATTTTGTTTTTTCCCAGCGTGTTATGCCTTGCGGTACGTTTTCGACAGGCCACACTGCATATTTAATATGGATGGCATCATAAGCCGAAGGAAGATTGTGTTAAAATGTTATACCTCTATCTATCTATCGCTAGTTAATTTACAGAGATATTGAGAGTATTAAAAAAAATCAAATTGTTTCGTTTTTATTTTTGATCTGGGAAGCTAAGAAAAATATACTTAGAAAAATACCGTAAAATAAGTAAGTAAAATACACAATATTATGGCGCTTAAAAATTAGTTTTTTAAGTTTTGCGCACAGTTATGCCCTGAACCAAAGTTTCTGGAAACGCCCCTTGTTTTCCCTACTGTTCGAGCGCTAAGATGGTTTTGCTTTCCGGGCCCAATTATAATTAACCAAGACGAAAATTTGTTTTTAATTAATTGTTTTATTTTGCTATAATATAAAAAACAAAAAGTATATAATTTCATTACCTATTTTTTGGTTTTCATTATTATAAAATATCAGTTGAAAGAAATCGTGGTAAATATATTGAATTGATTTAAATGTTACCCAACATTAATTTATTTCATTAAAAAAAAAGAATTCAAATTCAATGTGTTTTGCATATAAAACATTTTAAATATAATAAAATCCAAATCAATATTCTCATCGATATTGTCCAAAAAAATAGCTAAAATTGGTAGATATAAATAAGCAACCTTACAAATTATTTATAAAATAAAAATGTGTATGCAAAACCTATTATATTTTGCACAAATTGCTATAATTATTTCATTACGTACCTACGTGTGGTCTGATAGTGCAAGATATATTAGGTTGTACATTCTGATAAAAAAACTAATTGTCATTGTATTTTTCAGTCCCATTTTGGCGATCACACAATATAGCAACGAGAGATACTACGATGGAACCATGGTTTTCGTTTGTTTTAGCCTTGCTGAAGACCTCCTTCCTTGCCTCTTCTTTATAGGCTCCATAGTCATATTTTTTATATTCCCCCTTATCATTCTTATATTTATCTATATTTTAATAGCAAAAACCTTAATGGATCATCCGAACTCTATGATTTCATGCAAATCGACCAATTTGCCATCACAAAGCGTTATTAAGTACAGAAAACAAGTCATCTGGATGCTTGGTACGGTGGTTTTAGCATTTTTTATTTGCCTGCTACCATTTAGAGCTCTAACAATGTGGATTATTATAGCACCTGCTAGCACCAACTTTGAAATAGGTTTCGAGAATTACTACAACATCCTCTACTTTTCAAGAATAATGTTTCACATTAACTCAGCTGTCAACCCTATTCTCTACAATATTATGAGCTCCAAGTTCAGAGGGGGTTTCCTAAAAGTATGCGGTATCGTAACACTGCGTAAGAGGCTCAGAAGAAAGAGGGAAATCACGAGAAGAAACACCACAAGTTCCACAACACATACTTCTTCCCAACAAACATCCGAATCCTTTTTAAATAGTAAAAAAAATCACTCCAAATATTCCAATAAGTCTTTAAGGGATTCCTCCTCTGGAGAGAGCTCGAAAAATAATAATAGACTCAATAGTTCCACTAGGTGTGTTTATGTAAGGGCACCTATGGAAATAGTTAGCAGTATTAGTGGGCAAAAACTGCCCAATGGAGAGATCTACGTTTAACAAAATAAGACTGTATGTAAAAAAAGACAACCACTGTTCCTTTTCATGTATACAAATAATATACCCAACTATTATTATAATAGCTTTGTAAGTTGTTGGACTATTATGAAGTTTGACAATAATTCAATTATTTAAATGCAGGGTTTTAGTCATGCAAATCAAGAATAGCAGTATTCTGGGAGTGTATTTGAAGATATGTTGGAGGTGAGCTCAAAATACTATGAAGTATTATACTAAAATTAATTATATATGTCATAAAAAATATCATACGAATTAAACGAATTGGTTATTTTAAATAAAGTGCTATTTTTAGCTTAATATGTGGTTTTGCATCAATTTTACTCTAATAATATTTTAAAACTGGAGTCAAAATATATTTACAATTGGCATCGAATCTTAACCAAACCATTGTGTTTATTTGCTGATTTTTTATTACTCTTAAATTGTGCCTTAACCTAGTAAAAGACATTTTATACTATATATAAAATATAGCACACTATACAAATTAATATCAAAATTTAAAACATTTTATAGAAGAAAAAAGTGAAAAGGAACAGTATTTATTAATGTAAGCTATTTATTTCTACAATTTTAGACTAAATCAAAATATTCTATTTTATTATGTCTAAAAATTATATAAATTATTTTTAGTTTGTTAGAACTGTGTGACTGTAATATGTTTTATAAATAAATTGATACTTTTTTGTTGAACTATTGTTTTATTTTAAAGACAACCTAATATTTATATTATAGCTTAATTACTGATCACCATGGTCTATGCATAGACCTATAAAACACTTTAAGAGTAATTTTTGTCAAAATCATCGCGTTTGTTGGCTGCAAGATGTTTGTACTTTTCGATAGTGGCCAGTGGCGGCCCCTAATATTTCATTTTGGTGAGGCAGAGGCAGGGTTTCGCCCTCATTTAAAGGCGAAGACATTTTTTTAAACCCAACTTAAAAAAACTGACGTCGCAGTTTACAACCTAAACTTAAACCTAAGTAAAAAACTTAGACGTTTATTTTAAATAAACCTCATTTTTGTCTAATTAATATTTCATTGTTCAGCAAGAACCACGTGAAGGTCAAGAATATCGGTACAATTTCTCACCGTAATATCCATAATGACTAAATTCACATAAATCACCAAGTTCAATTAACTAAACCCACAGAATAAACCACTTACAAAAGAATCATAAAATAGACAAACTCATAGAAAAAGAATAAACAAAATATTGCGTAAATAACCACAGATTTGTTCTTTTAACAGTTCAGAATTTTATAACCAAAACAAACCTAAAGAAGGAAGCTGTATTTATTTTATTGGTTACTGTGATGGCTACAAGATGGCGATAGTGTTAAAATATGTTTATTTTAGAATAGAAATAAAATTTCGATTAAATCGATTTATTATAAGAAAAATAATACCATTTATTATTGAATTTTGAAAAACGTGTGAAGTATAATTTATCTAAAATTCCGCAACAGTGTTGCCACAACACCTGCTTATTTCCTTGGATGTAGGCGTACCTGCCTCGCGTATGCTAATGCGAGAGAAGGAGACAACTATGATATCGCATTGTAATAGAACGAGACAACAAGGCTAACGCCAATCGTGAGTCTAAATTAGTTCAGGCATGCTTCTGAGCCAATCATCTAGCTATAAATATTAGTTTAAATTGCGGTCGTTTCAAATTCAAATAATTTAAATGTTGCTGGGTATTCCAATTCATGTAATCCAAATATTAAAAATTTATAGTATATTATAGAAAGTAAAATATTTAAATTATGCTTAATTTTTTAATTTTCTATGATGAGGCACTGCCTCACCTGCTTCCCCTGACGGGCCGCCACTGATAGTGGCGTAAGTAGTTTTAAGGTAAATCTAGGAAAATATGTTAAGATTATGATTGTTATAGATTGATAAAATTCAAATTTATACTTAGGGGACATCCATTAATTACGTGAGGCATTTTTCTGATAATTTGGACCCCTCCCTCCCCCTTGGTGAGATTTGGTGAGATGCGGTAGACTCCCCTATCCCTCACGTGAGATTCTAGCCATTAAACTCCCTTTGCGGACATGATAAACCCAAAAATTAAAAATTGATTATTTTTTTGACAAATTTGAATTTTAATACATATTCTTTAAACCCAAAAGTTGACGTGAGTTTTTTAATGACCCCCCATATATTTATCTAACGTAATTAATGGATGTTCCCTTACAAAATTATATGTATATTATTGACTAATCCAATATATAATTAATAGTACCTAAAATAAAATAAACATACTGAAAGCTAAGAAAAAATGTTATCCAAAGAACATTTATATTTTGGAAACTTCGGTCAAAGTTCCGTTGCAAGATTTACTTGACCATACAACCACAAGAATTTTTGAATCAGTTAACTTAAAGTTTCCGAAATATAAATGTTCTTCGACATATAATAATTATGCGACAGAACATGCGACATAAAGTCTGTCCTGAACAGATGAGAGTCAAATGAAACGTTACTTTCATCTGAAAAACTTTGCTGATATTTTTGGCACTAACTAGTTGTATTTTGTATTTGTACTTTATGTCTAACAACAACGGAAAATCGAATTGCCATTATACCAAATTTGCCGCTGTTTGCCGCTAATTAGTTGTGGAAATAAAAAATTTGCTCCTGTTTTTGTTTGTTTTAATTATGTGTCTTGCTAACTTGACGTCAAGTTAGCAAAACAACATCACTAAAAATTACGGCAGCAAAAATTGATTATGCAAAAATTTGTCGCTTTTTGTGGAAATAAAAATTTTGCCGCGCCTTTTGTTTTTTTTAATTACATGTTTCGGTAATTTAACGTCAAGGAAGCGAGACAACATTACTAAAAATGAAGGCAGCAAAAAATTTATCGTGTGAAAAATTGCCGCTTTTTTTCCGCCAATTATGTGAAAATAAAAAAATTTCAGTAATTTAAAAATAGAGGCAATTTTTTATTTCCACAACCAATTAACGGCAAAAAAGCAGCAAATTCTTGGTATAATGGGAGTTTGATTTTTTGAAGTTGTTTTGCTAATAGATTGAAGTTAATAAATAAATGAACATTCATGGAATTAATTATTTTACCCACCCTCAGTAGGGCGACGAAGTGCGTACTTAAACCTAAAGGTTGACCTGGAGATATTTTTTTCACACATCCTTTTGGGTCTAAACTTATTTGAACAAAGGTTTTCCGTGAATCTCATTTTCTAAATACCCTCTTTTATACCGGGTGCACCAAGGATATCCTTCTTTGTATGAGTATCTTTTTTATTTGAAGAGCTAAAGGGTCGCTTAAATTTGAAAAAAGTTACATATTTATCTTAATTTTCCTCCAGTGTGTAATTTTTTAGTCCACTAGATTTACCACCACCATCTTTTGCTTTTCCTATAGGCGCCTTATTCGAATTTTACATGGTTGGTTAGAAAAAAAATCAAGGAATACAACGATGTATTAAACTACATAACTTAAGTTATGGCGGCCATTATAAAAACAAAATATGGTAATGGTAACTTAAATTACATTAGCAAAGAAATTGAATGAGGTTTGCATGTAAAACTTACTTTCTTTAAATTTCCAGAAATAACGATTTTGGCTTTAAAAGGTATTTTATATATATATACTCCTGGACAAAATTAACGCAACATCATAAATTTGTCACATTTTTTATGCTATTTTTTTTCTGAATTTAGGATCCGATTTTAATGATTTTTTTGCATTATAGGTTGGTGCCTTGACAATGTCATAATTTTCGCTGTTTATGATAAAAAGTTCATTTTCGATTTATACCGGGTGTAATAAAAATGTAATGTTTTTTTTTCGAAAACCACCCTGTGGAGTATACTAGCAACCGAAACCTATAGCAGTTAACATTAGACGGTAGGTCCATATTTCGCCAACATATTCTTTTTTGGTTTACTTCATTATCTCTGTTATTAAAGGAGATACGCTGTTTTATAGCGTAACATGTTTTTATAGACTTTATTATTCAAAACATTAATTGTTAAATGTTTTCAAGTAGGCTATGGAAAATTCGCCATACTTATAACAACTGTTCGAAAACTGCTTATTAAACGTTCATTTCGTATTTTAATCTTGAAAAATGAATCGTCCAAAAAATGTTTCGACAGAAGAAGCAGTAAGAGACTTAACTTTGGTGGATGAGGGCTATTCGATGTCATGTTGCTAATGTGATAGGAAGACATCGTTCGACTATAAGTCGTATGGTTAAACGATTTAACGAGACAGGATCTTAGTCTTTAAGGTCAGGACAAGGGCGAAAACGATGTACCGATCCAAGGGATGAGCGTTTTATTAGGCAAACTGCTCTAGAAACAGGAAGATTACTAGTACTAGGCTAAAAAGTGAGCTTAGAACTGCTCGCCATAATACAATATCGTCTCGAACAATCAGGAGACGTTTAAATGAGGCAGGTTTAAGCAAGAGAAGACTGGCAAAGAACAATTACTTACCAGAGAGCACAGACTTTCAAGATTGCGTTTTGCCAGAAATTATCAACATTGTACTGTTAATGATTGGAAGAAGGTTTTATTTTCTGATGAAACGAGAGTTACTCTTAATTCTCCTGATGTTGTGAACGTGTTTGGCGAAGGTCAGGAGAGAGATTTGCAAGTGGCAATATCTCTCCTAAAATCCCGTTTGGTAAAGGCTCTGTAATGTTTTGGGGAGGAATATGTTTCAACGGACGCACAGAGTTAGTCCCTATACGTGTAAGATCAATGAACGCCGATTATTATTTAGAAAACATTGTAATTGAACAGGTAATGCCATTTGTTTCTTTATTGGGACCGAATAGTTTATTTGAGGAGCATCCGTGCAAAACCGGCTAAATCCACTTTAATAAAATGTTGGGAAAATTGCAAAAACTCTCGGTTTCCTGGCCTTTACAGATAAAAGAAAAAGCAAACATGAGTTTTGTGGGCTTTGTGGTACTTGATTTATAAGACATACTTTCATT